CATTGTCAGTTGGGTTCTTGTGAGTATCAAATGAGTTAACACATGTCAATCGCTTGGAAGAGTGCATGGCAGGTAGTTGTTGAAAGTAAGCTAGTACTAGGAAGGGCTGGGGGGAGAGGAGGAAGACTACAAGACTACAAGTGCCACCATGCCTCCTGTATCTATCCCAGTTGCTTTAATCATGTTCACATCTCCGCATTCATTTCTTTTTTGTCGGATTGCTTCCAGCCTGTACACCACGTCTCATTGCATTTTCAACTGTTTTTATTCTCACTTTATTTCTAATATGACTTTCCTCTCCATGTTTATACATTTTTCTTTCACTTCTTGAGAACTGCAAACATATTTTTCATCTCTTTAGGGGGCTTAGAATCTCGAATTTGAGTTCTTATAACCCAAAGAAGAGCTCCTTTTTCCTTTTTCTTAAAAAATTTTTTTGACACTATGGAAAATTGTTTTAATTCTTGTTTTAGAGGGCAATTCCTTTTGTGATCCATTTTCTTCATCTGTCTTTTGTTATGTGTTTTATATATCTGTGCTCGAGTTCTATGTTAACTCTTGTCCTATTTATTTATCTTTAAAACCGAGCCATTTATTTGCTGAAGAATAAATAGGAGCCACAGAGGGGGAGAATCAGGTGTTCTATAGCTTCAACTTGAGTCAGCTTCCTTGAACATCCATTCACCAAGTCTGTCATTTTTCTTGACCTGAAGCATGTGTCCGCTGGGTCTGTGTGTGGTATATTACTGTGACTCACAGGAAAACCCTGTTCCGTGATAGGATCCTAGAGTTCTAACCTAGCAAACTCCCTCCCCTGCCAACACACGCACGCAGGCACACACGCGGGCACCAGCTGGCCTCCAGGAAATGAGGAGATCATCACTCTTGGCTCCATCCCTCTGCCCTTTCACCATCTGGATCCTGAATGAGGTCTTTACGGGGCATCTCCACATTTCCCATGGCTGACCCACACCCTCAAGTCTCTTTTCTTGAATTAAAGACTACCGCTATCCACCTGTCTGAACTGAGAGACTCACTCTTAGTGAAATCTGTCTCTTGCTCTAGATCTGAGGAGGTCAGTGTTTGCTCTCAAATGACCCCTTGTTTTCATCTATACTTCGTAGAGTCCGGCAGGTTAACAAGACACCTGCTTGCACTATTTCAAGTGACAAAAACCGAATCTGAAATACTACATGCTGTACCTGTCAAAATAAGGAAAGGAAGGAAAGAAGAAGGAGAAAGAAAGAAAAAAAGAACAAGGAACATACCGGTTCACAAAACAGAGCAGTCTGTGATGTGGATATGGTGGCCTCAGGTACGGCTGGATCTAGGGGTATCTATGGATCATCCTTGAACTTGGTCACTATCTCCATTTCTTTAGCTCTGTTTATACATCACATTCCCCCTTCAAACCCACCCTCCACAAGGCAATGAAATGGCCTCTATCGGCTCTAAGACCACATCATCTTTACAGCTTATGAACTTGAAAGAGCACTTTCCTCAAAGGCTTTGGCAAAAGGCCCAGAGAGGAATTCAGCTGGCCTGTTTTGGATCATGTGCCCACCTCTGAACCAACTGCTGTGGTTGGTGGATTGGAGAACTCAGAAGGCCAGTCTGGGGCCACATAATTACCCCGGGCCCCCAGGGAAGGTGGGCAGGGAAGATAAGATCAGCCCTTCTCTAAACCTGGAGTGAGCATGATGCAAGACAGCTTGCTCTCCAAAGGCAAGAATGCCAGGTAGACAAAAAAAATCAAGCCCACACTGCGGTATAAAGTCTGCTCCATGTTCTGTCATTTTGGGATGGAACAGGTTTTCTGCTTCATTGATGGCATTTATTTTTGTGTTTTTCATTCTTTGCTGCTTGTGTTCATTTTCTGAAGAATGCCTTTGCTTTATCACCTTTAATCAGAAGCCCTCTTTCCTCCTTTTTGATTCCAAAAATACTGTTGGCCCTTGACAGTTTACGGATAAAGCTTTCAGGCCTTATTAATCATCCTACAACCCTCGGTGAAGGCTGGGGGGAGATGGGAGTGAAGGCGCCCAGTTATTTCCATTTTACAGATTTGAAAACTGAGCCCCTGGTAAGAGACTTGCCAAAGAGCATACAGATAAGTCAAGTGGCTGAGAGTGAACCAAGCCTAAATCCAAGGATCGTGGTTTCCAGCAAAGAGTTCTTGGACTATCACTTCTCGGCCTTTTGGCTAAGATCAAGTGAAGAGTTCTTGGGCTTTCCTCCTGAAGATCACATTTCCAAACCACAATAGTTTGAACCGTTTTTACATTGAAAGCCTTAGAAGGTTTTTAAGCAGGAATACCAAGGGGTTCATCAGATTGAACCACTGGATGGATGAATGGCTAGGTGGATAGACATATATACACATTCATATTCTAATGGAAGCTTTATTATTTTCAATCCACATGGCAACACAAAGAGAAAATGGAGTGTCCCTAAGGGGCAAGCCTGCCAAAGCTTAGATGGGCCCTTAACCGGACGCAGAGAGAGTGTCGGAGTTGCAAGACTGTTTGAAGATGACAGCTGGGTAAGTTCTTCAGAGTATATTCTCTTTGGGAAAGTTATATAGTCCTCCAAGATCTCTTTTATGATGCTAGCTTGCTTAGCAAATCCTTTTTCCATCACAACCAGCATAAAGTGAAACTCCAGTCCATCCCGGGTCTGAGCTATCCATACTCTAAGTTAAGGGGGTACAAATCAAAGCTATTTCGCCCGAATAGACCGCTCCCTTCTCTACCCAGCCATGAAGCAGGCAGCGTGAAGGTGGTCACTTCCTCCACATTAAGCAAGTGGGTAAGGACCCTGCACGAGGGGGGCGGGACGCTGGTCCTCACTTCCTCTTTCCCCTTTCCAAGACCCGCTTGTGCTCCTCCTCCAGCCAGTGTCCTCTCAAGCCTCCTCCTTTTCTAGTTCTTGCATTCCCTCCCTCGCCTCCCCCCCCTCTGCCAGCAGGGCTCACTGACAAGAGTCGTCATTTACCACATTAGGGCTTAAAGACGGAAAAATGTTAATTGAGTAAGGCTTTGGCATCAAAACTGGGACTACTCCGTTGCATAGCAAAGATCATTTCTTGGAATTCTTCACTTAAATGTTTACGAGAAACAATTATCAAGTGTCCCAGATTGATTCACAAATGTAATTAATGACAGAATTGCTAATAGTTTCCATTTTCTGGTTTGTTTTAATCCTACTGTATAAACTGTTTTTTTGGCACCCCGTCAACCAAACCCCATCCGTGATTCAAGGAGGTAAAGATTCATAAAGCAGACATGTAATTGGAAGTTAAACTCGCCAGGGTGCATTGCAAACTCGACTCAGACACAGTCATTACACAACGCAAAAGCTATCCTCACCGAACAGAAGGAAAACAATTAGGGCCACGGATGCCTCATAATTTTGGACAGTCAGGAAGAAGGGCTTCCAGCCCCTAATTGATTTCTCCTTTGCTGTTGGTGGGATAAAATATGCAACTGAAAATGCCCTCCCCAATCCCAACAGAGGAAGACAGAATGAACTCTTGCTTGCCAGATTATTCTGCACCATCTGAAGGTTTGCAAGAAAAAAATAAAATAAAACGGCTCTTGTCTGGTTTTTCCTAGTCAACTTTAATTACTGTAAGGATGGGTGCAGCAAGATAAATGTTTCCTTTTCCCTTCAGTGCTGGAGAAACACAAGCTCTCCCGTGGTCTTTTATGTTTAAGCTCTGAGGCCTGCAGCCCATTCTCAGTCACCAACTGGAAAAGATCGGTTGCAATGGCCAGTCTGATGTTTTGTGCTCAGCTCCCAAAGTCCCGATTTGAAGTCATTCTCTTCCACTTAAAGTGTTATTTCATTTTTCCTTTAATTTAAAAAATGTTCTGAATGCAAAGCAACATGACCAGGACAACTAGGTTGCCTGATATGAATTCCGTGTGTGTGACACTCTTTGGGCTGCATCTGCAGACAAGGTCAGTCCAGCCAAGCAGCCGGTTCTGGGAAAAGTTTTAAACACGCGGCGTGTGTACGAGCCAAAGTCAGACCCAAAATCTAAAGTGAGGGCAACAAGTTGTCGGTCTTAAAATGGCTCATGGAATTTAATCTTGTTAAGCAAAGCTGAACCGGGCAGTTGTCCACCATGACCCAATGGAAAGTCCTAGAAAAATAACTTTAACTGAATGACCCGGGCCAGTCCAAGACCTTCTGCATATCTTAGCATCGTTATTGGCCTGGGGCTAGAGGACAGAGGCTGCTCTCTCCACTCCCATCCTCCACCCCAGTTCCCCTTCATTCCAGAGACTTCTTTAGGAAAACACGAAGGATGTGGGAGGGGGGACGGGAGAATTCATACGGTCCGTACAGTGAACATTTCTCCACATATCTTACTATGGTAAGAAAATTGTTCTTCGATTTTCTAAGGAAAGCCCCAGAAAGCCCTGTCTAGGAACATGGTATGAAATAAAGTAATTCCCAATAATTAATTTTATGAGGGATTAGGAGAGGGATATCACGGACAAGAGAAATGTAAGGGATTCTCCTGTTTTAACTATTGACCTGTTTGCAAAATAAGTATTTGAATCCAAGTTTCTACGTGGGAATAAGAAAAGTGTCTACTCTCTGGTGGAATTAACAACATGAACTAATCCAAGGGAGGGAACGTGAGATTCCAGGCCAGCCAGGAATCCCAAATGACCCACAGACAGAACAATCACTCATCACTCGAGGGCCGGCCGGACAGCCTAACTGAAGCAAAGAATTCTGACGGGCCTATCAATGCAGCGTTTGGCAGGTATGAATAAATGTTTTCCTGAGGAATAAATAGGGAATGATGTAAAGCCAACTCCAGTTAGCCATGAGAAAAAAATCTTTCCTTTTCGTGCGTCATTAACTTAAAAATGTGTTTGTATAAGAGGGAAAATGCAAATCAATCATCTACATAAGATTAGGAAACAAACTAGTATATGACACAGTTTATCCTAAACAGAAAACTAAATCAAAAGAATACTGACCCTCCACTTCTGAGATGAGATGGCAAGGTGGTTGTCCCTTTGAACATTTCTTGCTTCTTGATTTCACTGAAGCCTCTATCATAAGTTAGCTGAAGTGGGTGACTCTGTAAGCAGCCAACAGCTCTTGATTCTGTTAAATAAATCCCGTTTATTTTCACCATAGGGTCCCCCATCACAACTGTTTCCTCGGGTTCCACCGTCTTCTTTGCTGTAAAATCAAGGAGATGTTCGGTCTAAGTATTTCTGATTTTCGGAATCATTCTTTCAATATTTTTTTTCAATCTAAGAGTTTATACAATTTAAAATTTTTTATATTACTTATAATCTCGTCTGGAATTGTGTTGCCAAAATCTACAAGACCTCCCCACTACTTCAGGCTTGGAAGCATCGATTCATTAAAATGAATGGGATCTTCTCTCTGCTCTCTCAGAGTCTACCAGCGGACATGAACTTGAATGGAGGTTTATGACTAACCCAGTCCACAGAAATACTTCTGCTTCCCAGAACAATGACTCCTTTTCCTGAATTTGATCATGTTAACAACTTTTCATTCGAAAAATACTGAGTGCTACGGCATCTGGTGACTCCGTCGGTTAAGTTTCTGATGCTTGCTTTTGGCTCAGGTCATGGGTCATGGGCTCAAGCCCCGCATCGGGGGTTCCATGCTGGGTGTAGAGCCTGCTTGGGATTATCTCTCTCTCCCTCCCTCCATCTCTCTAAAATAAATAAATAAAATCTTTAAAAAAAAAAATACTGAGTAACTAGACACTGGTCTAGACACTTGGGAGGTATCAGTGATGAAACAAAGATCCCTGACTTTGTAGGCTTACATCCTAATAGGCATAAACAGATAGCAAATAATATACCATAATAAATGAGGTCCAAGATATAATATAATAAGTACTATGGAAATAAAGCAAAAGTAGAAAAATGGAGAAAATTAAGAGGGTTGGGGATGGGGGTAGACAGCAGTTTTGAAGAGGGTGGACATGGTAAGCAATGGAGGCGAGGCATCTAGCCACTGGTGGACAAGGGACAGAATTCCCTACAGAGGGTAGGGCACTCTTAAGGCAGGGGTGCGCTTGGCATGCTCAAGACACAACAGGAGCGGAGTATGTGAGGGAGAAGAGGAAGAGAGCTGATCAGAGGGACAGCACCCAGATCGGGGAGGACCTAGACACCACTGCCAGGTGGTAGGAAGAGGAAGGCATTGGCTTCTAAGGCTTTCTAAAGAGGGCTAAGATGATAAGAGTTGCAAACAGAAGTCCAGTCTCTAAACTAAACATCTATTGTGTGTATGACTGCAGATTCTTAGACCTATGATACAATACTCTCTCTTTATCAGCCAGTGGCCATTAGGAATAGCTCATTTGTGATGCTGCTAGCACACTTGAGTTTCTGATAAAATGTTTTTTTCAGGGGCACCCAGGTGGCACAGTCAATTATGCATCTGCCTTCAGCTCAGGTCATGATCCTGGGGTCCTGGGATGGAGACCCACACCGGGCTCCCCGCTCAGCAGAGCGCCTGCTTCTCTTTCTGCCAGATCGCCAGAGAGCTGTGCATGCTGAGGAGTAGGGACTTCATCCCCTCCACCAGGAGTCAGCAAACCATCCACCGAATCTAACCTGTCCCTTGTTTTTGTATAGCCTGCGAGCTAAGAATGGTTTTTACATATTTCAATGGCTGGGAAGAACTCAAAGGAGAACCCTATTCTAAAACATGTGAAACTGAGAAGAACTTCAAGTTTTGGGGCCTATCAATCGGTCTATCTTGCTTTCCCACTACAACAGAGTTGTAGGACAGTTGAATAGGTTGAACAAAGACTACATGGCCCATTTGGTCTAAAATATTTACTCTCTGGCTCTTTACAGAAAAAGTTTGCCAGCTCTTCTGCTAGGTCAGTATTTCCCAAACTGCATTCTTCAAAACACAGATTCCCCAGTCAAGTACATTTGTAAAACGCTAGGTTTGAAGGGTATCATGGCTCTTTCCACAGTTTGGGGACTATGGCCATTGCTGCTATGAACATTGGGGTACAGATGGCCCTTCTTTTCACTCCATCTGTATCTTGGGAGTAAATACCCAGTAGTGCAATTGCAGAGTCATAGGGAAGCTCTATTTTTAACTTTTTGAGGAATCTCCCACTGTTTTCCAAAGTGGCTGCACCAACTTGCATTCCCACCAACAGTGTAAGAGGGTTCCCCTTCCTCCACATCCTCTCCAACACTTGTTGTTTACTGTCTTGTTCATTTGGCCATTCTAACAGGTGTAAGGTGGTATCTCAATCTGGTTTTGATTTGAATCTCCCTGATGGCTAATGATGGTGAACATTTTTTCATGTGTCTGTTAGCCATTTGTATGTCTTCTTTGGAGAAGTGTCTTTTCATGTCTTCTGCCCATTTTTTGATGTGATTATCTATTTTTTGTGTGTTGAGTTTGAGGAGTTCTTTATAGATCTTGGGATATCAGCCTTTTGTCTGTAGTGTCATTTGCGAATATCTTCTCCTATTCCGTGGGTTGCCTCTTTGTTTTGTTGACTATTTCTTTTGCTGTGCAGAAGCTTTTGATCTTGATGAAGTCCCAAAAGTTCATTTTTGCTTTTGTTTCCTTTGCCTTTGGAGACATGTCTTGAAAGAAGTTGCTGTGGCCGATGTTGAAGAGGTTACTGCTTATGTTCTCCTCTAGGATTTTGACAGATTCCTGCCTCACGTTGAGGTCTTTCATCCATTTCGAGTTTCTCTTTGTGTATGGTGTAAGAGAATGGTTGAGTTTCATTCTTCTATACATAGCTGTCCAATTTTCCCAGCAACATTTATTAAAAAGACTGTCTTTTTTCCTGGATGAAGAAGATATGGTCCATATATACAATGGAATGGTATGCCTCCATCATAAAGGATGAATACCAACTTTTGTATCAAGATGGACAGGACTGGAGGAAATTATGCTGAGTGAAATAAATCAAGCAGAGAGAGTCAATTATCATATGGTTTCACTTACTTGTGGAGCATAAGGAATAACACAGAGGACAATGGGGGAAGGAAAGGAAAAGTGAATTGGAGGAAATCGGAGGGGGAGACAAACCAGGAGAGACTGTGGACTCTAAGAAACAAATGAGGGTTTTCAAGGGGAGGGGAGTGGGGGGTTGGGTGAGCCTGGTGGCAGGTATTAAGGAGGGCACATATTGCGTGGAGCACTGGGTGTGCTGCATAAACAATGAATCTTGGAACACTGAAAAAATAAAATTAAATTTAAAAAAATACTGACCACATTGCCCACCATTGCATACCCTTAGCCACTGCATAGTAAATATTTACATGGAAATAAATAAATGAATAAATGAATAATGAATGAATGAATAACTAAAATGCTGGGTTGAATTAAGATGAAATGGGCATCTTTACTGACCCTCAGCTAGGCCCATGTGCACTGGGGCTCTCCACGAGACGGAGGAAGCAGGCAGACCGATCTGAGCACTGGACCCCTCGTCCAAGGGAAAGCTGGGACTCAGTTTAGCAAACACTCCTTCAGACACAGGGAGCCCTCCAAAGGGTTTTCAGCAAGAGGATGATGCAATCTGATTTTTTATTTGCCTCCTGCCCCCTTGTCCCATATGGCGCACAATAATCGTTTTTCACGGTCCACTGGGATGAAGGGATGAGGTTGCTGCTCACAGCCATGTGCGGTTGGCAGCTTGGTTTCTCCGGGCTCTTCTGGCTGCTCCAAGGGAGCACGGTCCTCAGTGAGCGGAGGGCGGAGCAAGACAGGGACGCCAGGAGACCAGGCACCGCAAGGGGGGCTGAGAGCAGTGCGGCAATGGTGGCAAAGGAACGTGCAGAGCCAGGAGACGCTTCGGAAGCCCATTTAGGGAGCCTGTCGAGGGCTTGGCGAAGGCCAAGAGGACAGGGATGGTGAGACGGTGGAGACTGCCCTGTGGCCTCTGTCCAGCTTGAGCAACTGGGCAGTGTTAGTCACACTGCCACCTCCAGCCAACAGGCCCATCTGAACACACAGCAATTGCACTGCAGGTCCTACGAAGACGGCCACACATGTCCCTTCACCTTTCATTTTCTTCAGTCAGAAATTCCCAACCTGCCACCACACCCCTCGGCCTGCCTGTGCCAGAGTCAGCTACAAATGACTTCATGCCAAAGGCAGGCACACACCCTCTGTCTCCCCGCTCAGCTGCCTTGAGAGCCTCAGTCCCCCACTGAAAGGCACCTTTGCTAGACAACAGAGACTCCGATACCAAATCCAGGAGGCTCCTGCACAAATGACAATGGTGCCGAGGCTGGAGTCTTAGAGTATATATATATATTTTTTAAGATTTTATTTATTTATTTGACAGACAGAGATTACAAGTAGGCAGAGAGGCAGGCAGAGAGAGAGGAAGAAGCAGGCTCCCTGCTGAGCAGAGAGCCCGAGGCAGGGCTTGATCCCAGGACCCTGAGATCATGACCTGAGCCGAAGGCAGAGGCTTAACCCACTGAGCCATCCAGGCACCCTGAGTATATTGTTTTAATGGGGCAATGTGTGCTTTTAAAATGACGATGACTTTTTACTGTCATTGTCACGTGAGTGCTGACCCCGACTTCGACCTGGACCTCAGGGATGAGGAGCCCTGGGCACCTGCGAACACGGCAACAAGAATGGCCACAAAGACATGCTTCTGGCCCTTCGGGGAGCATGAAGACGGTCTCAGTGCTGGGAAATGGCAGCCACTGTGGGTGTGCAGACGACAGCCAGGGAGCGGGGGCACAGAAGGGAAGGCGCAAAGCCCGGAGGGAAGCAGAGACAGTGAGGATGGTGGGGGGAAGCCTCAATCCCTCAGTCACCCGCACAGACACCCGAAGAGCTCCCTGAGCTGCAGGGCGCTCACCTGAGAGCTACCAAGAGTTAAATGCACACAACACCTAGGCGGCATCCAGGCTCAGAAGCAAAACATCTAGTGAGCGACACTACCCTCACACCAGCTCTGCCACCCCCGTTTCTAAGGAGTTCCTAGCGAGGTCTGACCTCACCCCCAACCCCAGGCTCCAGATCCTGTGCCCCTCATAATGGCAAGGACTTTGGTCCTACAATCCCCACTCCTCTCTGATGTCATCGGTCTGACGGGGTCCCCAGGGAGGGCCCATTTGAAAAGCTCCTCAGGGGATTCTAAGTGCAGCTAGAGCTGAGAAACTGAAGTCAGAGGAGGTCTGTCCCTTCCTTAAACCCTGCGCTGACTTTTCAGGGTAAGCAGCATAGAGTGTGGGCCATTTGCCCCTGTCTGGCCCTTTGGGGCGGTGGCTCCCTCCATGTCCCCAGGGTAAACCATCTCCCAGCCACAATGGCCTTCCGGTCCTCCACCACCTGAGTGACTCTCCTCCTGTCTCCGAGCCTCCAGGTCCCCCCAGCGTGGGCTCCTTGTCCTCAGCTTTCACCATGGGGGCCTTCTTCTCATTGGTCACATTTCAACTCAGGGCCACCTCCTCAAGGACACATTCTAGTGCCACCTGATCTCACACAAAGTACTCCTGCCGTGGACATTCTCCAACCCATTATCTCACTTATCTTCTTCACAGTCCTTATCAGGACCCAAATTATCTTATTTCCTTGTTTTCCTACTTACTGTTTACAAACCTCACAAGCTGTTTGAGGGCAGGACCCTGTGGGCCGAGGGTGCTGTCTGGCACTTAGAAGGGGCTCAGTTAATATCTGATTGACTGAAAGAAAAGAAACACACTGGGACACCCAGGGTAAAGTAAGTTGCCTGATCACACATGCTGCCACAGCACCGTAATGGCGTGATCTGCACACCCTGTCTTGCCTCTTTGTCTCTTCCTTCCTTCTTGATTCTACCTCCTCGGCAATGTCAGGGTTCACGAGGGATTGGAGGGGTCAGGAAATGAGGAAAGCGGGCTGGGGAGACAAGGGGAGCTGCGGCTTGTACCCTGGGCTAACGGGGGTGGGTGCTTCCCGGAACGGGGGCCCAGTGTTGCCAGATCTTCCAGTTTCCCAGAAGAGGTCATAAATCTGGATTCTTCCATGAGGTCTTCTAAATTTAAACATTAGTGACTAATTAAAGGAAAATGCTTTTATGTCAAGCAAGTAGGATCCTCGGGCAGTGACATGGAACTTTTGGGATCCCTCTTCAGATAATCTCCTCTCCGTGTCTGTAAACCTAGCCTTCTTCCTCAAGCCTTACTGACTGAAGGAGGGCCGGTGTGGTCAGCCCCTGGTAAAGCGGTTTTCCAATTTTATGACTACATAGAATAATAATAAATTCACAATATAGTTGAATATAAATATGTAATAAATTCGTAATGCGACCCTGAGTACACATGTACATGACTACAGTAGGTGTCCTTGAAGCAATACTTACCTTATTGTCTGCGATTTGCCCTGATGTTCTCCATTCTATTCTACTTCATTTTTTTTAAAATGCTGGTTATCCACTAAATTGATTGCCATCTCACTAATGGGTCATTTCCTGCAGAATTTGAAAAACTCTTAGTATACTCTGGCAGGGGTGATTCCAAAGGTTGGGGCACACCTTAGAACTTGAGGTTTGTAGCTTCTCTGTTTCCAGGTTTAGAAATCCACTAGCCATTCTGTGGAAAAGAACTGGGAAAGCCCCATCCAACTTTAGCTTTCATAGTCACATGGGATTGGAAAGGTATTTTCAAAGACCTCAGCTCAGTGCACATCGTATGAATCTTAAATGTGCCTAATGAAATTAACAACTGTTTGAACTCTGATTTAAAAATCATTTATTTCCAACTCAGGTGAACCTCCTCGTTATTGAACACTTACCCTAATATTCTTTTCCTACCAAGTAACTTTTTAAAACAAAACAAAACAAAACTGGCTATTTAGGTATTCTTCTTAAATGCCCAGAAAAATATATGAACCCTGTTTCTTAACCAGGTTTGCACAATATTCACTAAGGGTTCGTTAATGTAAAAGTCCTGTAGGGTTTGAAAAAAAAAAAATCGTAAAAATAGCTTTTGTGTGCCCATTCAAAAGAACATGCCCGCCCCCCAGATTTCAAAGGAGGTGACCCAGCCTTACACTCAGCAGGAGGCAGGGTCCTGTCGGGCAGCAGGGCCCCCTGGGAGGCCGCCCTGAATAAGCGAGCCCGGGCACTGCTTAGTCTTCTGATCTTCGCTGGGTCCACTGGGGGCTTGGGAAAGGCAAGGCAAGGATCCTCCTCCGTGGTGGGAGATGCCGGAGCTTTCGGTTTCTGGAAAGAGATTTTTCAGATGATTGGCGAGCATTTCCGTGTCTCAAAGAAGACTCACCCCCCGGCGCTGGTGTTGACACTTCTGGATGAGCACAGGGCTCACTGCTTCGCTTGGCCTCATTCTGGCCACCCAATTCTAACAATTCTCCCCGGCCCATTTGAGTTAATGTGACATGTGGGGTGTATATATATATATATATATATATACACATACATATACATATACATACATATACATACACACACACACATATATATCACATTATGTATATGTTATATATTATATATACTTTTTGTCATATTCGTATTTAATATAATATATATAGTTTTTGTCAAATATAAAAACATTATTTTAAATACTCTATTACCATGCTTAGCATGTTTGAAAAAACAACTTACCCATGCTCAGAAACAGATATCTGTATGAGACTGTAACATTTGATACAATATGATCAAAATGCTTTGTAAAGTTCTTGCCAGCTCAGAAGGCAGTTACTGAGCACCTATGTACACCAAGAACTATGTGGAACGTAAGTACTATCGTTACATATTTTGGACTCCACAAGATTACTTTTTCAAGAATATAAAAATTCTTGAATAATTTAGATTATAAAGTCTAAAATACAAGAACAAGAAGCTGTCTTGGACTTATAATACAAAAATGTTTTATTTTCGGGGTGCCTGGGTGGCTCAGTTGGTTAAGCATCTGTTCAGCTCAGGTCTTGATCCCGGGGTCCTGGGATCAAGCCCCGTGTGGAGCCCTGTGTGAGGCCCTATGTTGTAATCTGTGCCCAGTCTGCCTCTCTCTCTCCCACTCTCTCTGCCACTTCCCCCACTCATGTGCACGTGTTCTCTCTCACTCTCTCAAATGAATAAATAAAATCTTTAAAAAATGTTTTGGGGAGCCTGGGTGGCTTAGTTGTTTGAGTGTCTGCCTTCAGCTCAGGTCATGATCCCAGACCCTGGGATCAAGTCCCACGTCGGGCTCCCTCCTCCGCGGGGAATCTGCTTCTCCCTCTCCCTCTCCCCGTGCCCCTCAACCCTGTTCGTGCTCTCTTTCTCTCTCTCAAATAAATAAAACCTTTTTAAAAACGTTTTATTTTCCACATCTCAAGAATTCCACGCTGATACCCTTAGAAAAGGAACATTACTGGCAAATATTCCAATTCCTTAAAGACTTTAAAAAATACCAGCACCAAAACACTGGGCATTTTGCCACCAGAGAACCCTGTAGTCTCACTTCCAGATGGCGGTAGCCTCTAACCCAGGGCCAGAACCTCGCAGGGACCTGAACTCCCACTTTTGGGGTTGCTTAGTGATCCACCCTTCTTCCCTCCAACTTTAACATGATTATCTGTTTATGAAAGAGTAATGTTATGGCAGCAGGTGCTTTTAGCTCTCTAGCCCAAAACAATCGACTTGAAGTTCCTAAAGTCACTTATGTAATATATGAACGGAGTGACTCTCATTCTAATAGGTGAATCAGTGCACTTTTTAGAAATCTAATTGAAACTGAAGCCAGATGCTCTGGAAAAATGGGTGAGGTTATGTATTGTATATGACACTCAATTTCAAACACTCATTTCCTCATATACATTAATAGAACATAGAACATATTAGAGTTCTCCTTCCAAGAAGTTGTTTACTTCGATAATGATAATAGTTTTCAAAATATTTTTTGTATCCTCTTGTTCATTTACATCCAGAATCAATCCATCAACCTGGCAGGAAAAAAAATAGCTTCATGACTTTAGAGACACATTTTTTCCTAAACACAGAAAAAGGGAAAATAAAATAATCAGTCTAATACAAGGAAAGAGTAAATCACCCTGAGATCAAACCACACTGGAGTGTAATCCATGTCCTAGTTATGTGAATGTGGCCCCGCTCTCAAATGGAGATCAGCACCGTCTAGCAGGGACATTGACATACGTACAACTTCAGTTACGGAGGCTCGAGAAAGGCTAGCTCCCCTCAACACTATATTTACCAGATTTTCTTCCAAGCTTTAAAAGCCAAGCCCCTTAAAGGCGCCTGGGTGGCTCAGTCAGTTAAACCTCTGCCTTCAGCTCAGGTTATGTTCCCAGGGCTCTGGGACGTAGTCCTGCATCTGGCTCCTTGCTCAGCAGGGAGCCTGCTTCCTGCTCTCCCTCTACCCCTTCGTACCCCCCCCCACCGCTCGTGCTTCCTCTCTCTCAAATAAATAAATAAAATCTCAAAAAAGGGAAGAAAAAATAAAAAGCCAAGACCCTAGCCTCTGACACAACTTTGCTGTGGAAAAGATTTTGAATTCAGAGGGGTCCCTTCTAAGGGAGACAACACTCACTTGTCTGCATAAATTATGCTATATTTACTTAATAGTCCCTTTACTTTTAGTCTCCCTAACTTGTTGCAAAATATTCAAAAGAATGTGATTTGGGCCATGAAGCTAATAGTAAAAAAAAAGTTAAGAGTATAAACAGGAAAATAAGTGCTTTAGTTATAGTTATGAAAGATGAAATATATATGGATAATGTCAGTATTAAATGTAGATGTGAGATTTTCTTATCTCAGAAAGCCTGTACTCTGCAGGTACTTTGAATCTTGAAACAAAGATTGAAAAGTCTGACAAATAATAATAATGTGAATAAAGTAAATGGTTTCTTTTACAGATGCCCTGTTATAAATGTTTTGGGTACAAAGTAAAAGGTCTTATAAAAAGGACATGTGCAAAGCTAATTTTTACCCAAAAGAAAATAACTCCATTATCTCTGGATGGCAAGATAAAACCCCTTAACTGCTTCTTGATAAAAGACATTATTTTCCTAGTGCAAAATCCGTCACTGTTTGTAGAATGAAAAATTAGTCCCATGTGACTCCAGTCCTCAAGGAAAATTATTTATTCCATTTAAACATGTATCTCACTTGACTACGTAAAGTATAAAGTAATACATGTAAGCATTTTTAGTTCTTTGAGGGAAAACTACTAAACAGGCCATCAATTTCCATCCTGCCAGCTTCTACAACACATCCTTCCCCTTTGTGGAGTAAATTGGCTTTTACGGAGCAAAACAGTAAAAACTGTTTCATTAGAAGATTCACTTCATTTTCGAACTCAGAGAACTTTGAAAGGAAGTTGAAATTTTCCCTTGAGGACCTCACCTCCCTGGTTTTGTGTACCATGACACTCCAGTGACTCGAGTATAATCAAGGACACTGGGAAACTCAGATGGTAGGATTTGTTCCTGCTGATAAAATGTCTGTTGAAGAATGAGACTGTTCTCATAGAACAACCCAATCAAATGAGACAAAATTCCTAGAACATTTAAAGAATCTGCCTGGCCTTGACTCTAACCCCAGCACAGTGGGCCTTGACCAGTTTTGGACATGGCCCCTCTGGATCACCAGACGGAAAGGGAGGATCCTCCCTATTCTATAGGAAGGGGGGTCTGCCACATCCCACCTCAGAAAGTTGCTAGGATTTGATTTGTTGAGCAACAGAACACACACACACACACACACACAAACACAAACACTCACACACACACTAAAAGACCTCTTGGAAGTTAGAAAGCAAATATGAAAAACTCTTGCAAGTGAGGAAGGGTATTTTTGTCCTCTCTGCTTCAGCCGGAACATCCATCTTTTCCCTTTGGACACCGGCGCTTCCGGTTCTCGAGCCTTCACATTCAGATGGGGACTCACACCACCGGCCACCGGCTACCTTGTTCCCCACAGCTTTTCAGGCCTTCAGGCCTGGACTGGAATGACACCACTGGCTTGCCTGGGCCTCCAGCTTGCAGCCAGCAGACCAAGGGACTTCTCAACCCCCCCACCCATGTGAGGCAATCCTTTAAAACAAATCTCTATGTATCTCTATGTTTGTATGTATGTATGCGTCTATCTATCTATCTGACTACTGGTTCTTATTTTCTGGAAATCCTGAGTCATACAATTGTGTATCAATTACACCTTAGTAAAGCTGTTAAAAAAAATTTTCCTACCAGCACATAACCTTTGGATGTGGCAATTGTATGTGCGTCTCTATCACTATGATTTTGTCCACGGGTGTGCTGGGCTCCTCTGTCACTCTCAGCATGTGACTCACTGCTGTAATGCTCCCATTCAGAAATAGTGACAGAGAAAAAGATTGCTTTGACATTCGCATTCTGCTTTCTCTTAACCTGGATTTCCCCTATCCCCAAGGTACATAGGGAATTCCAAATCCCATTCTTTTAAAAATATATTATATTATTTAACTTGTCAAATACTTGGAACTTGGTTCCTATAAAACGTGGGGAAAATTAGGGCTTAAACTAATCTATGCTTGGGGCGCCTGGGTGGCTCAGTTGGTTAAGCCTCTGACTCTTAATTTCACCTCAGGTCAGGATCTCAGGGTCCTGGGATCAAATGCCCTGTCAGGCTCTGAACTCAGCATGGAGTCCGCTTGTCCCTCTCCCTCTGGAGGCTCCTCCCCCTGCTTACTCACAAACTCTAAAATAAATAAATACAATTTTAAAAACTCCTAATCTATGCTGTGAGGAATCAAGACAGTAGTCGCCCTGGGGAGGCAGTTTCTGGGGTGCTGGTAATGACCTATTTTTTTTCTTTTTGAACGCTGATCACAGAGTGAGGTGAGTTTGTGCTAATTTACGAAGCTGCACTCTTACGATCTGTGTCTTTTCTGCATGTCAATAAAAAGTTTAATAAAAATATATGGGGCTTAAACCAACTAGACTTTGTAGGTTTAGGAAACACACGAAGAATTGTTTTGACAAAAATAATGATGAAAAAACCTGGCAATTCACAGACCTGTACCCCTGGGGCTAGTAATACATTATATGTTAATAAAAAAAAATAAGAAATTAAAAAAAAAAGAATCTCACAGAGCCAATAAATCTGTTTCTTAAAAAAAAAAAAAATGAAAGACAAAAATCTCCTATTCATGCACAGGGTCACATCTCTTTTCCTACAGCGGTTCCTGTGTATAAAAATCTGAACACCAGTTAACCAGGGTAGCAGAATGAAAACAGAAATAACTACTACTACCCAACAGCTCCACGCCTCAGAGCTGTCATGGGAAGGTGGGGAGCTGCTACAGAAGAAAAGAGAGGTACCGGCCATACTGATACAGCAAGGAGGTATACATGTTTCCCTCCTGTCTGATATGATTACAGATCCTAATGGGAACCTTGCCCAGTCAGTCAGGCCAGCAGCCAAGGCCCGAGTAGTCAGGGGCCAGGGCAGCCCACCACTTGCTAGAGGGTGTGGGGGTTGGGAAGGAGCACAGGCCAGACCCCAGGGTTGGGGTGGTGGCGGGTGTCAAAACAGGGAGAGGGGAAAACATACAAGCTCAAAGAGGTGAGCTGATTTGTTAAATGTAGCAGCTGGAATAGGGTGCTTTCTTGGTCCCTCTTCCTTGATTGACTGCTAGCTGAGGAATTATTAAAAGGCAAATTAGCCTAAGAAAGTCACCTAGAGCCAGAAAGGGCTAAAGTTCGGTCATTTAGGTCTTTGCAAATTCTTTCAGCTAGTGGGCCCAGTAACTAGGAGACAGCCCTGTCCAGCCTCCCCAGCTGTCTCCTTGTTCCTGCTCCCTCCTCCCGCACTCCTCCTTCCCCTCATCTCACTCCTTTGGCAGGACAGAGGTTCTCGGAGTCACATAGTTCTCTCAAAGGGGAAAGGAAAAGGAAAGAAGGTGGAATGGCAGGTTAGTATAAGTTCACTTTCAGAATTTTTTGACTGGGGGCTCCAAACTTTCCCCATGTTGAGTAAAACAACTCCTTTAGTTTGAACTCCTTTTGTTATAGTAGATTATGTAACGGTCTTAAGTATATATTTCATATATTTCATTAAGACCGTTACATAATCTACTATAACAAAAGGAGTTCAAACTAAAGGAGTTGTTTTACTCAACATGGGGATTTCTGAGTCTATTGTTACTTTGCACATAGCACCCAACCATTCTGCAGTAAAGAAATATAATTATAATGACCCTAAACAGAAGCAAAGGCCAATATTATCTTTGCCTACTATCTAATCCTGCAGTGGGGAAAAGACTGTACCGAAGACTGTACCAGTTTGACAAGGGCTGGCTTTGACTAGGTTAACTCTAGAACTAGAGATTCTTAGGATAGAATAGGCCCAAACTGAGTAAATCTCCAAAAACTAAAGAATACTAAAAACAATTCATGGGAGTCAAATGACAGGATCAGAACACAGAGAACCACCCTCAACAAGGTAAACATATTGGGCTTCCAAACCAGGGGGCCTCTTGTGGCTGGCTTAAAATCCAAGAGGTTTCCAAGACTGTAAGTGTAAGAAACTACATGTCAACAATGGCTAACACAGTGTTTATTACACATTGGTTCATGCTTACTGTATTAGAACCTTATTTTTGCCATCTACAGTATAAGAACAAGCATAATCTTCCTCGCGGAAGTATTTTGATGAGTAGTTCAAGAATATGAGATACATTTGGAGACAATTGGGGTTATTTGAACATGGACTGTACATTAGATGATGTTACTGAATAATGTTAATTTTCTGAGCTCTGATGATAATATTATAGTGATGTAGGAGACTGTCTTTGTTCATATGAGATGCATACTTAAATTTTTATGGATGAAGTCCTAAAAGATCTGCAACTTACTTTCAAATAGTTCATCAAAGACAAACACATATACACACACAAATAAGCACACATAGATGTGGTAATAAAAATCAAGAAGCAGGGGCGCCTGCGTGGCTCAGTGGGTTAAAGCCTCTGCCTTCGGCTCAGGTCATGATCCCAGGGTCCTGGGATCGAGGCCCCACATCGGGCTCTCTGCTCTGCGGGGAGCCTGCTTTCCCCCCTCCCCTCTCTCTGCCTGCCTTTCTGCCTACTTGTGATCTCTGTCTATGTCAAATAAACAAATAAAATCTTTAAAAGAAAAAAAATCAAGAAGCAGCTTGTACACCACCCCGATTCCATGACAGTCTAAGGGACTAGCATCACTAGGTACTTATGGCAGCAGAGCTACAAGGGGAAGAGACCTAAACAAGGAGGATTGGCTGAAAGTCTGTGTAACTCCTTCCCTCCCAGCTCCATGTAGCTACGCTACATGGTCAGGAGATTTGCTCCATAGAGAGGGTAAAACAGAGGTGTCTGAATCAGGCTAACTATGCAGAGTTAAGTGTCAGGGTACTTATTATAAACGTAGAAATTAACTGAATATTTACCTACTGAATGCTAGGTACTCCTACCTTCTTCCTCCAGCTGGTTCTTGGAAGATAGCAACCAGCCTTTATCCTTTAGGCAAGAGCTTAGAAGATACTTCTACAGAGAATTAACTTGCCACAAGGAAATCCCTGAAGATACTGCTAATCCTTGAAGATACTGCTGCTGGGGGTTTCATAAACAACACAGCCCAGCCAGTCCTCCCTGATGGGGTTAGGTATCACCTATGGGTCGACCTGTCTATTCCACAGGCTTCTACTTTCACATAAGAGCAGCCAAACAAGCAGCATGAGCTATCAGAGGAGAGCCTCTGACATGAAAAAGAGAAACCAAAGCAAACATTAAAATGCAACAGACACAGAGGGAAGACCGTGTAAAGACACAGGGAGAAGATGGCCATCTACAAGCCAAGGAGAAAGGCCTCCATAGAAACAAACCCTATTGCCCTCTTGATCTTCGACTTCTACTTCAGAACTGTGAGAAAATAAATTTCTGTTGTTTAAGCCACACACACACACACACACACACACACACACACAGCACAACAGAGATTTTAAAGGAAAAAGGAAATAATTCAAAAATCAAAATTTAATTAATATACTCAGACAAGATGTTACAACCATGAAACACAAGAATACTATCCATAAGAAAAGATCACTTAGAGCAGGGAAAAAGCTTTTAGGAAATTAAAAATAATTAAATAATTTAAAAATACGACGGCAGAGGAGCGCCTGGGTGGCTCAGTGGGTTAGGCCTCTGCCTTCAGCTCAGGTCATGATCTCAGGGTCCTGGGATCGAGCCCTGCATAGGGCTCTCTGCTCAGTGGGGAGCCTGCTTCCCTCTCTCTGCCTGCCTCTCTGCCTACTTGTGATCTCTCTCTGTGTCAAATAAATAAATAAAATCTTAAAAAAAAAAAAGATAGCAGAAATGAACTCAATAAAAGGATTAGAAGATAAAGTCTCTTCCAAAAAAATATGGGAAATAAAAATTTTAAAAAGGAAAGAAAACTGAAGTACCAGCCCAGGGACTCCTACATATTGGGATAATAAATTCCAGAAAGAGCAAACAGAAGAAAAAAGAGGGGAAGATACACCAAAATAATTCAAGGACATTTCCCAGAGTTGAAGGGCATGAGATTCCATTGAAAGTGCCCAGCACAACGGATGAAAATAAACTAACACAAAGGTCCATTATCATGAAATTTTAGAACACTGGAAACAAAGAGAAAAATCCTACAAACTTCTAGAGAGAAAAAACAGCAATCAAGGTCTCCAATAATGTACTTCCCATAAACCCTTTCTCTAGAAGCTACCAGAGGAAGTACTCCAAAAGTAAATCCTGGGATACAGGAGACAGGTAAGCCATCACAAGAGGGAGAAGCAAGCTGTGTGCCAGGTACCAAGGGTAAATGGTCTGGGAGAAAGTGGGGAAAGTTCTCCAAAAAGATGAATCAATAGAATACTGCATGTGCCTGAGTATGTGAAGTAGATTTAGAACCCTGGAGAAGAGTTTGGGGTTGAAATGGTAGTAATACAAAACAAAAAAGCAAGGCAACAATTAACACCAGGGAAAACAAAAAGTGGTGTGGGCAAGGAAAAGTAATCATCATTAGTTCAAGACTCAGTTGTAAACAGGATTTATATAATCATAGTCAGAGAAAAGGGATCTAAGCAAAATGATGATATATCTATACTGGGAATAGCAGTGGGGCCAAAAAGGATGACTGTGTTGTGAGGATGTGTGGGAGGACAGACAAGAGTTAAATTTTCATCTTCCTTAGTGAGAAGTCATTAGATAATTCTTCAAACTCATAAGTCAGAGAGGAACAAGACACTGTTATTTAAAATTTTGGATGTAAATACCAAAAGAACATGCCAAAAGAGTTTAAAGTGAGAGTCACTGGTTAAGAGTAGAATGAAGAATAAGGGGACAGGGGCCCCTGGACTGTTTTGGGTAACAAACCTTTGACCTTTTATGTATACATATATATAATTTATTTGTATAAGTTTCTATTAAAAATAAAATAAATATGTATAACTTTAAGAAAAAAAAAAACAAACTGTGAAAAACAAAAAATGTTGTAAAACATTCTGTTTGCCAGGTTACTGTCTATTTCTGATGTTCTTATTATTAAATTATAGGAAAACAGGGGCTTCTGGGTGGCTCAGATGTTAAGCGTCTGCCTTCGGCTCAGGTCATGGTCCCAAGGTCCTGGGATCCAGCCCCATGTTGGGCTCCCTGCTCAGCAGGAAGCCTGCTTCTCCCTCTGCCCCTCCCCCTGCTTGTGTTCTCTCTCTCACGGTCACTCTCTGTCAAATAAATAAATAAAATATATTAAAAAAATAAAATAAAAATAAATAAATTATAGGAAAATAACAGAAGTGTATCATCAAGATTCGAAACATTTGAAAAAATATAAATGAAATTGTTTTCATATTAAATTATCACTATACTTAAGTCTATGTGGTCCCTTTCTTAGCACATACAAGTACTGATTCCAAGTATTTTGGGCCAATTCCATTTCACAGCACTGATGGTAATATAAGGTACTCACAAAATCTAGTGGACTGAGACGAGCACCAGAGATGGGCCTGGACTCAGATGACTCAAAACTGGATGCATGGAGGCTAGCACAGGAGATGGAACAGAAATATTAGTTTGTGAAGAATCATTTATTTCTAGTGTATGTTAGTTAACTCTAGTCCCAAAACAAGTAAAAGCATTTAATGCATAAGCTTTGAGGAAGAAGCAATTTTTAAAAAATCAATAGTTCTTAGAACATTTTATTACTAAGATTGTTCATTGCTTGTAGGGGAATTAAAAAAATACTGAATAATGAAAAGAAGAAATGCATATGGTGATTTTTTTTTTAAAAAGTTTTGTTCATATCACTTTATAGAGTTGGTATGACAACCACCATTCACCATTTCAAACCAAAGCAACTTGTTGGACCCAAGGTCTGGACTTACCTTTAGGAATCTCTGAATAGATACAAGAGGTATAATTAGCAGACATCAAACTTAAAAAGCAACTATTCATACCTAGAATTAAGGGAAAACGTTTCTGGTGGCTTACAGAGCCGAGTGTATAAGCAAGAGAAACGTCATTACCTGAAGGAAGAAGGAGGTCTGTTTTCCGGTGTTCTGGAAGATGCAGGACCAAAGAGTTTTCTTTGGTCTTCCCGTGGTGTAAATGGTCTTTGCGTCCCAACTGTTCTTAATGCATTTCGTGCTTCACTTATGATTTCTGCGCTGGTCTTCTGCTTGGACATAGAAGGTCGATAAAATGGATCCAGCTTTTCTAACTTTTTATCATTTGGAGATAGCATCTTTTCCTTTTAAAGTAAAATGTTCTTCAGGTAGACACCACAGGCTGCAAATATATGATACAATATATGAACTGTTTTCATCCATGTGTTTAGAAAAGAGTGCTTAAACCCACATGTTTAAACCACTCCTCTATATTAAACTAGAAAAAGTCACAAACAATTTTTTAAGAAGATTTTTAATTTATTCTTTGACAGAGAAAGAGCCTGTGGTGGGAGAGGGCAGGCGGGAGGGGCAGAGGGAAAGGAAAAGAGAGAGAATCCCAAGCAAACCCTGCACTGAGTGTGGGACCCAATGTGGGGCTCGACCTCACGACACTGAGCTCATGACACTGAGCTCATGACCTGAGCCAAAATCAAAAGCCTATAGCTTAACTGACTGAGCCACCCCGGTACGCCGTCACAAACAATTTTTAATTAAAAAGCTACCAGGCAGTTACAGTTAGAAGATCAGGGTGGAAGAAAAGCTTTCAAAAATATAGGTTGATGTGCATAGTTATGCCTACGGGAATATATGCACTCCGGGGAAATGGTGTGCAGGGAAGAGAGCCAGGATGAAAGCTAAACCTGGAGACAAAGAGGAGAAATCGTGAAAGAGGACAGACGAGGAAGAAAAAATTATCTCGTATTCTCCGATCTATAAAAAACAACAACACTGGGGGGTTCTGTTAAAATTTTAACTAAATTTTCCTTTTTTCCCTCTGCTGTCCTCCACGCAAACTGCAAGTATAAGGTTAGATTTAGACAGATGGGGCCTATTTCCAAGCTCTATTTGCTTTTATAAACGTAGTTTGTAAATTCAGGGAAAGATTCAGCCCCACATTTACCATGATGTATTTGAATGAATGGATTCAAATCACCTTCCATGTGAGATAGTGTCCTAGAGGAATAAATATCAAATTATCAACATCAAATATTATTTCCCAGGCTAGTTTTCTCAGTTAAAGTCATGCACAAGGGCCATGAGAATGTAGATCCTTCTTAAATGTTGGCATGTCCCCAGGGAGGCCTGGTTAACTTGGCAGGACACCTCTGTAGCTCTAAACTTGGAAACAGCCGAGATTTAAAAAACATAATTCTAATTACTGTTTGGTATTAGGTGTTCATTAAAACAACAACAACAACCCAGATCCTTGAAAATCTCTAAGGAGAAAGAGGCCTGGAAATTTTTCCTATATTTCAGTGCCCAATTTTAGAATAACTTTTGCAAAAAAGAAACATTTTTTGGTGACATATGCCCAAGGAAACTAAAAAGACTCCATTTCCATAAGTGGAATCAACAGATGATTCCTTAGACAAGTAAAGAGGATTTACTATATTGTGATTCTATACATTAAGTTGTTATGTAACAACAGACAACAAGAACATTTGTTTAGTTCTATCCAGACCCTACCCTAAGAGTTTTTGAGGTAAAGAGCATGATGAAAACTATAAACAATATGTTATTCCTTTCTTTTCTTTTTTTAAATATTAAATGTACTTCATTACTTTTGAAAACTGGTCACATACATGATTATTTTTAGTCAGCCATAATACCTGATTGGCCAGCACAGATAAATATTTACAGAGAAACACTAACACTTTAAAAAACTAGCCTTTGGAGGACATTTTTTATTTTTTAATTCAAAACTTTTTCAGTGTTAAAACCAAAAAGACTTGCAGATTTTTATGCTATTCCTTTCATATGGAAAGGCCAGGTGAGGTAAAACAGTAAAAAAAAAATCCTAGATAAGCCGTCCTATTCAAGGTGTTTTCTTTCTAGGAATTTCTGTTATAGGATTTGGAATTTAAGCAAGGTCTCCCAAAATCATGCACATTAATACAACAAACAAAAAACTATGACAGACCAAATACATTTTACTTCTAATTCTTCTGATGTGATTGGCTGTTTATTTTTAAAATATTCAAGGCTGATTATTAAAAATATGTATAGTATTTTTTGTATAGCCATATATACATGTTTCCCTGCCATCTAAAAGAGCACATTCGCATGAAAACTCTGATAAGCCAAAACAGTGTGAAGAGTACGGTGCCCCCCGCTTTCCGCCACTTTGCTTTTACAAAATGCCTGCATTAACACCTGTTTTCACTCACCAGAAGAAATCTGAAGAGGACATTCACTTTTATAAGACTGCGTTATTATAGATCTTGCATAAAAGCAAAGTGACATAGCACGAAAGCAGGGGATACCTGTATTATTTTTGGATGCATGGTAATGTAAATTCAGTCCCATTACATCTAACTCAAGCGGCCATACTAGTTTCCTTTGTTTGTTTGTTTTTAAAAGGCCCATGGGGGCACCTGGGTGGCTCAGTGGGTTAAGCCTCTGCGGGTCATGATCCCAGGGTTTTAGGATCGAGCCCCTATCGGGATCTCTGCTCAGCGGGGAGCCTGCTTTCCCCCTCTCTGCCTGCCTCTCTGCCTACTTGTGATCTCTGTCTGTCGAATAAATAAATAAAATCTTTTAAAAAATAAAATAAAAAAATTAAAAAATAAAAGGCCCAGTGCAGTAAGAAAGTACACCACTTAGAGAGAGGAAGTTCCTGTGCAATGAACAGGTTTCTCCCTGAGCCCAAATCAGGTTTGTGATTCCTTTGGCCCCGCATAGCTCTAGTAAGTCCAGCGATGTCGAAGGTGATCTGGCAACCTCCTAAATACTGGAGGAAGTGCTCTGGATGAACACTGTGGCATAGCGCTCCTCACCGAGATCCTGTACTTCAGTTTGTGGAAAACTACACTCTTCCATGAAGTCATGAAGGAGGGACATTCACTCAGGATGAGTGCTAAGAGTCCTGTACTTTATTTGGGCACACAGGAATTTAGATTGATCAAATATTGGTGGAAATAATGTAGAACAGTAGGCTTAAAAATCATTTTGTTCAGAAATTTTTTTACCACAAATTCTAAAACAACTTTCTCTCTCCCTCTTCCTTTCTCTTTCTCCCAAACCTTAATGGTTACATTGTGAGAAGCAGTTTCAATAATGTAAGATCTGCACAGTTAATCTACTATTATTGTGTTAATGTATCATGAACTAAATCAAATATGGACCTATGTCGTAGCTTCTGTGCTTTGTCTAAAACCTCATCCTTCACAAAACTGTTGTAGGGATTCATTGAGATGATGTCCTCGAGACTGAATTTTCAGGGACACCAAGTGAACTGAGTTAGAAGCATGTTTTTAGGGGAGAGGGAAGTATTTTTTTCTTTGTTAGATTACAAATTCTTATTATAGAGGATTTTTGCCAACTTAAACAATCACTCAGAGTTTGAAAGCTTGTCTGTTTATAGTAAAGGACACCTGAACAATAACACAATAGTATCACAGAAATTTTAACTCTACAAAAATTCTCTTGGCAACTGGAACAAATCCATTCGGCTAGTATGGATTAACTGTTTCCTATGTACAAAGCCCTCTGCTCAGATCCCTGGGAACACAGGAATGAATACTGTCTCAACTCTCAGCCAAGAAGACCACTAATGCTAGTTAAACATTTGCCTTACTACCAAGCATTGTGCTAATCAGTCTCGAGGACATCATCTCAATGAAACCCTACAACAGTTTTGTGAAGGATGAGGTTTTAGACAAAGCACAGAAGCTACGACATATGTCCAGAGATGATACTGAAACTATACTCATGAGATGGGGTGGAAAGAGGCAGGGCCACTGGAGGCCTTGGCTGCGGCTATGTCTGTACCAATATAGAGACAGGCTGATATTTCCAGAACTGGAGCGGCTTTCTTGGAGTGTACCAGCTCAATGTCAACTCTGCTTGTACCCAAATGATTTTAATACAAGGTGGAAACTTGTAGGGGCATTGAAAAAAACTGAAATAACTCCCATGTGATTGCAAAAAAAAAAAGGATTTCTGATTGGGAGGAAGTGTCAGGGAGGCTTCCCGGAGGAGGTGATGCTTGAGCTCCGTTCTGGAAAATGGGCTGAATTTGAAGCATGTGGCAATGGCAGACATTAGATCTGGAGTAGAGAAGGAATTTCCAGCAAAGTCAATGAGTGAGCCAAGGCAGAGTGCCAAGAACATATGGGATGTGTGCTGGAGAAGAATGAGCTCTGGAAATACAGATTGGAGTTGGACCAGAGAGAGAACTGAATAGCAGGTCAAGAAATTAAAAAAAAAAAAAGCTGGTGAGTAAATTAATAGATTTGGAGGCATGATGTGATCTGGCAGGAGAGGGCAGGATGGGAAGGAGGTAGTTCTGATGTAATGAGCCAACTAATTCTTAGAGGTCTTCAGAGAAGCATCCCTGGATATGGCTTTCCCTGTCCTCCAGCCTGTTAGGTGTTTCTCCTCCATACTCTACAAGATCAGCAGCTGGCCTCTGTCAGTACACCTTCCCACTGTGTCCCTGTGCTGTCTCACCATACTCTGAGCCACAGTTCCTTTTGTGAGGCATGGTTGAAGGTCAGCATTTGTTGAATCGCTGAACTCCATTTTCTCTTCTCTCTCTCTTTTTAAGATTTATTTATTTTTAGAGCGAGAGAGAGCACCCATGAGCAGGGGAAAGGGGCAGAGGGAGAGGGAGAGAAAGAATCTCAAGCAGACTCCCCGCTGAGCTCAGAGACTGACTTGGGGCTCCATCTCACAGCCCTGAGATCATGACCTAAGCTGAAATCAAGAGTCACCCAGGTGCCCCTGAACTCCATTTTCCAATACAGATCTAAGTCAAGCAATATCAAGCTGAAGGCAATATGGCTTCTTTCATTGGAGACATCTGTTACAGTGGATTAGGAAGGCATATGGGACTTGATTTCAATGGCATCTGACATCTGATTCTTTTTTTTTTTTTTTTAAGTAGGCTCCATGCCCAGAGTGGGGCTTGAACTCATGACTCTGAGATCAAGCGTCTCATGCTCTACTGACTGAGCCAGCAGGGCACCCTGTCAAATGGTATTTGATTCTTGATGCCAAGTGGTAATATGAGATCAAATTCAGCACCCTTTTCCTTTCTTGCCTTTACTGCAAGTTGCCTGGCAGGGAGTAAGACCTGATATACAGTGTGATCCGTGAATGAGGTACTGAAAGCCTGAGATGAAGGAGAAAAGGTGAAACAGAGGTAAGAAGAGAGATGAGAACAAGTGAGGGACAAGAGCAGAAGAACCAACAGGATTTAGCAGCTGAGAGGACAGGAAGAAGCCAAACGTGACACTTTACGCAAACCTGGAGGGGCGCCGAGATCAGAGGACCAAGAGACCTTTTAAAAGAAAACAAGAGAAGTAGACTTTGAAGGGAAAGAAGGAAAAGGCTATGAGCTGCCTTGCATCACTGTCCTGAGTTGATGATGTCCGCAGGACCTCTAGAGGATGACCACAGCCAGCGGTAGGAAGTCTAAAACTGGGATCTTCATTTTTAACAAAATATTTCTTACTCATTGGGAGAAAATTTCAGAGTCCTCATTTGTAAAAATTCGTACCTAATTATCAAGACCCATCTTTCTCTTTGCCACTAATAGTTACCTAAACCAGTCTCCTTGCTAAATGCAGCATTACTCTATCAAGATATTCTGCAACAAGAGAAAGGCTGATCCCCTCCACTCTCTGTTCCCTGCAAATCAAACACAGATCTTCAATTTGTGATAGGGTTACACCCTGAAAAACCCATCCTAAACTGAAAATATTAAGTTGAAAATGGATTCAATACACCCAACCTACTGAACATCATAGTATAACACAGCCTAACTTAAACATGCCCAGAATACTTACATTAGCCCACAGTTGGGCAAAATCAGCTAACACAAAGCCTATTTTACAATGAGTATTGAGTAGCTCGCGTCATTTATGGAATACCGTGCCTAAAATAAAAACCAGAATGGCTTGCCTGGGGGCTGAGGGGGGGTGGGGTCCTGGGTGGATCAGTTGGTTAAGTGGCTGCTTTCTGTTGTCCTGGTCCTGGGGTCCTGGGATAGAGCCCCCTCACCCTGGGGAAATCTCTGCTCAGTAGGAAGTCGGTTTCCCCCTCGGCCCTTCTCCCACTCAGCACCTGCTCTCAGGGTCTCAAATAAATGAATAAAATCTTTAAATTAAAAAGAAATTAAAAAAAAAACAGATGGCTATATAGATACAGAATGGTTGTGAGTGTGTAACAGTGAGTGGCTGCGACTACCCAGCATCCCCAGAGAGTACGACAGAGCCCATCCCTAGCGCCGGAAAAGATAAAAATTCAAAGTATGGTTTCTACTGCATTAAAAATTGCTGCCACACCAACAGTAAAGTTGAAAATTTTCAGCTGAACCATGGTGAGTCGAGGCCATCTGCACTCAAGACCCTTTCCATGATTCTGAAATACCTTTCTGTTAACATGAGCACCCAAAGAGGCAGTGGTTAAGTGCATTGCTGGATAAGGGTTCAAATATTCTCTTGGCAATTCACAGCCATGTGACATTGGCAAAGACTGTAATGCCTCTAAGCTTCAGTTTCCTCATCCGTAAAACAGGGATGGCCATAATTGCCTTATAGGATTGTTCTGATAATTAAATAACCTAATTTTTGTGAAGTGCTTTAGCGTGGTGCCTAGCCCTTAAGAAAAAGTTAACTTCGACCCAGGCGGATACAATAAAAATTCTCCCATGAATAAAAAATTGCATTTAATGAAAGAAATTGCAAATGAAAGGGAATGAGGTTAAGTGTTTCCATAAATTTTTGTAAATTAAAATTTAAATGCAGGGTTTCATTGTGAAAAAGAATTTTTATCAAGTATTTTATTGACTATCAGGTATGCCAAATCAATAACTAATCAGAATTTTATAGGATCACAAAATAGGATGCAAATCGAGTACTTCTTGCTTTTCTACCAATTTAAAATAATTCTAAATTAGAGTGAGATGGAAGAGCCGCTGTGACAGTCGTGGGAACGGACGATCAAAGGCATTATATGTACATATGACGTATTTTAATGTATACTGTTACATTATTTTTTTATTGGGCCCCTCCCTATCTGTTGCCTAAAAGAGCCCAGGTACAATTTGTGTGACCGTGGAGAGGTCGCTGTCTACCTAGACAAAACCCCTTGGTTTACCAGTTTCATTCAGTAAATATCTCCAAGCTTCTGTTAAGCTCCACACAGTGGACTACACAGTCGGCGTACAGAAATAAGGACAGCCGTGAACCGACGCCGAGAGCATACACCCTTCGGGGGCAGAAAGGCAGGCGACAACAGGAAAGGTCCCGGGTGACTAGGCGGGAGACGCCTCACCTCCCGTACGGACAGAGGCTTCCCCGCTCCCGGCAATGTCCCCTCCTCCACAGGTTCAGGCCAGGACACAGCACAGCAGCGCGGTCACTCTGCCTGCCAGCCCACCCTCCTGCCAGCCCCCTAGCTCGCCGGCTCTGCCAGGCCGGCCGGCGTCTCCATGGTAACCGTACACAAACTACCTACCCCGGGCGCCTGGGCCGCCTGCCTGCAGAGCCAGGTCGCTGCTCGACGCGCGGAACCGGACAGGAAATGAGCTGGGACCAGGCGCAGGGAAAGGGGCTTCCGGCCAAACCCAAAGCCCCAGTGATTAGCGCTGGTAACAGTAACAGCTGCGGAGTTTCAGCTCATCCTTTAGGTTTCCAGAGGCAGCCAGCAGCCGCGAAGGAGCTGCAGAGCGGGGCGGGGCGGAGTGGGCGGGGCGGAGTGGGGCGGGGCCGGGAGAGAAGAGACTGGGAGGTTTCCCGGCGCCGCCTGGCCACTGGGCCTGCGCGGGTCCCCCAGCGCATGCGTAGGAACGCTGAGGCCCCGAGCGGGCGGGGGAGCTGGAGGAGCGAAGGGAGGATCTTGGGCGAGGGCTGGAGAGGGGGAGTGCGAGGGAACCGCTTAGAAGACAGGTGTGGGGAGGAGTTCCCTTATAAATTAACAGCTTACCGAACCAAATTTGTTGAGACGCTATGAGATCTCAGCACTTTTAACAACAAAAAGCAGGACGATAGCTTAGTGCTTAGGGTTAAAAGTCAGGATTTACTGGATTGAAGTTACAGCCCCGTATAGCCTCGAACTAGTTGGCTTACTCTCTCAGTTTCCTCATTTGTAAAATGGAGAGAATTAGTAGTACCTAGCTAGGTCTTGTTGTGTTGTGTTGTGTTGAAGACTGAATGAAAAAATAGATATAAAGCGCTATGCACATGGCAATGAATGAAAGTTAAACGTTTGGTTGTTTTTAAGCAATTGCACGGGGGAAGCACTTTAGAGTTTGCAAAGGATATTTTATTGTGTATTTTCTTTTTAAGTGTCCCTACCACTCTGAGGTAGCAAGCAAGCCTGGCATCCCCATTCACAGGGGACAAAACGGCAGTCCGAAGTGTAGTGAATGACAGTGGAAGATTCAAGTCTAGCCTCCCTGTGGGCAAACATTTTTTCTGTACTTACTGCACCATCGCAGTTGATTGGCAAAAAGAATCCCATTTATATGTTTCCGGTTTAAATTCCGTTCTCTATTAGACCATTCAGCAACACTTTACAGTGTGAAATACAAGTGAGACCATAATCACACTCCATTCAAGTTGACACCACGTTTTATAAATATGGGGATTTTTCAGCTGAAGTGTTGTTGTCAACTTAAAAAATGCCACATGCCTTGGTGCTAAGTATCTTGTAAAGAATAATTAAATTGAGGGGCGCCTGGGTGGCTCAGTGGGTTAAAGCCTCTGCCTTCAGCTCAGGTCATGATTTCAAGGTCCTGGGATGGAGCCCGACATCGGGCTCTCTGCTTGGCAGGGAACCTGCTTCCCCTCCTCTCTGCCTGCCTCTCTGCCTACTTGTGATCTCTGCCTGTCAAATAAATCAATAACAAAAAAAGAATAATTAAATTGAAAATATTTTTGAGCACATATTATGTGTAAGCCATCATGCTAGGTGGGAAATGATACTAGCCTAAACTAAAGGAATGTAAGTATTCTTCAAAGGATCCAAGAGGAAAACTTATTAGTGGGTTGGGTAATTTTAAGGCCTGAAACAAAGTATTTGTGTTCTTCCAGGTTTTAATTTTTCCAAGTGAGTCAACATGTCATCACATCATCAAGTCCCACTGGCCACTGGACTCCATTATACCAAGGGAACTTTGCCATTTAATATAAAAACATAACTAATATTTTGAATTCACAACTTGGGAGATGTGACTAAAATGCAACTTTCTGGGGCGCCTGGGTGGCTCAGTGGGTTAAGCCTCTGCCTTCAGCTCAGGTCATGATTTCAAGGTCCTGGGATGGAGCCCGACATTGGGCTCTCTGCTTGGCAGGGAGCCTGCTTCCTCCTCTCTCTCTGCCTGCCTCTCTGCCTACTTGTGATCTCTGTCTGTCAAATAAATAAATAAAATATTTTTTTAAAAAAAGTCTTTTAAAATGCAACTTTCTTTTTATCTCTCACAGCTGTTTTAAGATACATTCAGTGTTAGTTTTCTTCCCCTGCCCCTAGATGGAAAGTGGGTAATGCCCATGTATTTTTTGCTCATTTTGAGATAACCGATGGTCCTACTGTAACTAAATCTCAATCACAGCTTCATTCCAAATTTATAATGTTGGATACAAGATATAAACAAATGCAGCAAACTTTACTTGAAAATAAGACTTCACCCCCCTCTCCTGTCTCAGGTCTCCAGATGCCTTTCCCAGCAGAGATGCAGTGGGCTTAGGCTCAGCACTCCCCCATTCGTTAGAGGCCACTTTAGGACCCAACCTGGTTGGAGGTGGGCAGGAAGTGGGGAGAAAAGAAGCCAGGAGATGGAGCACTTCCCCCCCACCCCCATTTGAATAGCTTGGAGGTTGCTGTGCCAGGGCTAGAGTTAAAGCACCCCTTGTGGGGCCCTCCTGGGTTCATCAGCATTTCTTATTAATGAAGACGTCTTTCCAGGGAACTCTTCAGGTGGATGCTGAGCTATCCCACTGTTTGTTTACAACCCATTCTCTGACCCTAGAAATCCAGAGTTTACCCCAACCCCTTTAGATGGGTCCCAAGATGGTGCCATACCTAGTCCAAAAAAAAACCACAAAAAAAAACAAAAAAACAAAACAAAACAAAAACCAACCACATACATCTCTTTCCTTCATAACTCTGAGAATGCAGGCCCATCCCAGTGCAGCACTCCCCACTCCCCTATGCTATCACAGGATGAAGCTTTAGCTTTCCCAGAGTGAGTCAGACTCCAGTCCTCTGATCTACCTAACTTCAGTCCCTGGCAGGCTCCTCTGGGAAGGCTTCTCACTGGGTTTGAGATGAAGGGGGCACCCCCCCACTCCTCTCCAAAGAAACTTCCTCATCCATCCTGCCCCTATATTCTCTGATTTCTCATTTCTAGCCTCAGCCCAGACCCTTTGGTCCAGTCTATATATTTCTTTATAACTTGCCCTAAGGAGACTTTGCCTCGCCTGCACTTTGGAACTGGTGATTATTCACTTATCATCTCAGCTGAAACCACAGTTTAAAAAGCTGTTGTATAGCCAATTACCAACTATCGTCTTGCACCTAGGGTCTTGTTCTCAAATTGACAAGTAAGCTCACTACTGGAACCAGAAGCTAGCCAACTCAGTTGGCCAGAAAATGCCTGCCAGGCAAATTAGAACAATTAGAGAAGAGTGACAACGGCAGAATTATAGGACGCAATTATTTAAAGAAATCAAGCTGCCCAGCTTACCTCAATGAATGACACGACACAAGAAAACATTGAGGCTATCATAGCAATGTCCTGTTATACTGACCTGGCTATTCCTCCGCGCTTACCTGACGGCTATTTAACAGAATTTGATATAATGAAATTTGTAAGTGAAATTATTTTAGAAACAAAATTGCTATCTTTTTTATACCTTAGAAAGATTAAGGAGGAAAACAAAATATTAATTGTAAGCATCTGATATTTATAAAGCACTTTATAATTTCCAATTTGCTTCCATATGGAGCATTTCATTTTCATTGTTTTATTTGGAGTTTACAGCTAGCCTGAGAGGTGACTAGTTCAGGGATTCTTATCCCAATTTGAAAGTGGGCAAAATTGAGGTTCACAGAGGGTAAGTGATCTGCCACACAGTCACAGAGCTGGTAAAGCGATGTGAGACCTGGTGTTTTCAATGCTCAAGTCCCAAGTGCCACTTGCCATTGTACACGGGTAAATACAATTTTTTAGGCTGAAGCCTCTCGTTCTCAGCATTGAGAGGTATTTCCTAGACTGCTGAAACTGTTACAAAATGCCCTGCATTTTCTCTTTTTCACTTATCTCAGAGTACATCCTGTGTGGGGCTACAGGGATCAGGGGGAACTTGGGAATCTTTACATTCAACTTGAAAGTGCCTGCTGGACTTTTGGATTTTGAATTAAGATGAGAATTACACACTCTAAGATGGAAAAATGCAATAAAATGTTGAACTCCTAGATAATTTTATTCACCTACTACCAGTGGATTTTATAGTTTATATTACAGTGCACATCACATACATCTCATGTTTAATATCTATAAGCTTATCTGGGTTTATATATTAGATATATTTTTGAAAAGATGCATGTTGAATAAATAATGCTCACAATTCCCTCAATGATTTTTACAACTGTAACAGAGATGGAATCACAGAGGGAAAAAAAAATTGCTTCTGGCATGGAATAAAAATCACCAATTTAGAATTCTAACATTCGCTTCAAGACACTTTCTGCTTTTGTCAATATGGAATCTCGGTGCTTTAATTATATTTATCACATAATGTCTGTGAGGAGTTCATCAAATTGATAGCCTATGCAGTCTCTGCATACAAATTTCAAGGTACAAATACATTAAAATGCAACTTGGTGGAAATTTACAATGCAATGAAAATTAACTAACTTCATGGAACTGCATAGGTACAAGACTGTAGAATAGTCCTAAAACTTATCAGCTGAAAAATATTAAGTGAAGATTCTCTATTTAATGGGGCTGAGGCTTTACCTGTGCATCTGAAGTATTACTTTTCCTTTAAGCACATTATCCCCACCACAGAATTTCCAGGACCCCAGGGCACACTGTCAGGAGCAGTCAAGTCAAACTGTTGCTAGGGATGCTAATGAATGAGGGTTCATTTAATTATCAGTTTATTACAGAGTCTCTACTTGGTATTTCATCAGAGGGGAGAGGGTTCTAGTTTTCAGGGATTGAGTCAATAGCAGTCTTAACTCTGAATTGCTTCATTTCAACAACTACGAAGTCCCTCTTCTATGTTGGAAGAGACCTGCTAAGACGATCAGAAACTGGCTTTTTTTTTTTTTTTTTTCTTTTTTTGTCAGCCTCACCTGTGACACCTTACTAAGAGAGCTTGTCTGGGAGCTTGGGGCTGCAAATGACAGAATGCCCCATCGACAGTAGCTTCAATACCAAGGACATTTATTATTTTAACAAGCAACCTCAAAGCGGGCTGCTTCAGGGTTAGTCCTGCAACTCAGGGCTGGCGTTAGGAAGTGTCAGTGACGGTCACAAGACGTTTGCGGGGGCACATGACGGCGTCTCAAAGCAGGGAAGAGAGAGGGGGGGCCAGACCATCTCCATGTACACCTCTTTATGGGGGAAAAGGGAGAAATTTCCCAGAAGCCACACATCACTGTTCAGAACTGTTGTCATGTGCCCACATGCCAGCCCCAGCCAGAGATGAATGGATTA